AATACCCGGTTATACTCAAACCAAGCCATTAAAAAATCATTACGATATTAGTTGGGATATATTCATGCCATGTTTAAAACTCTATTCGTACTCTATGGAACGATTTTCTCTAAAAATACATATCTACACAACACGTCTCGACAACATAAGTACTTTTTCAAATAAAAATCCTATGTAGTATACCTGTAAATGATACTTTAATATATACGGGTATGCTGTCGTCAATTGTTTACCTTGGTTCTAATTGCCGCATAACTCTGCCAAACCATTGGCAGCCAGAATTTAGGACCGGCGAGTTTTTTTCTTCGTCTTGAGGTACATCGTATTTTCGGATAAAAGGGTGTTCCATGAGTTTGTGATATTTCGGGCGATGTTTGTAATTTTTTGTAAGGCAACAACTCACAAAATTTCTAAATTCAGGTGAAAAATTTCCATCTGGTGGTAAGGAGGGTGGATCGTCTTGTACTACTCTGCTCAGTACCTATGAATTTTATTAATGATAATATGGTGGACGATTAAATATTTGTGAAACATTGTTGAAACATTTACCTCGAAATCAGTCTTACAATCTCTGTAAGGGAATACTCCTGTAGCTAATTCTACTAACGTGATACCCAAACTCCATACATCTGCTCTTATATCGTAATCTGGCTTTGTTGGATCCGGAGGATCAATTCTTTCGGGCTACAAAAACATGTGATAAAATGACCCTGAATCTTAGTATGAAAGAGACCTGGAGTTAGATATACTTACTGCCATATAAGCAGCACAACCTGCACTTCTAGTTTTTGCTTTACTATCAACTAATCTTCCAGATATACCAAAATCACATAACTTGACTCCTCCCCTCTCGTCGAGAAGTATATTACTAGGTTTCACATCCCTATGAATCACACCATGCTTCTCTTTCAAATAAGATAATGCTTTTACTGTCTATAAAAATGTAATCTTTCTTGTAATAGGAGTTTCAATCGAATCATATTCTGCAGTTTAGGAAAATCACTTACAGCTACTGTAACTTTTCCTAAAAATTCTTCCGGCATTGCCTGCCTAGTTTTCTTTAATAATTTGTCTAAACAAGTTGCCATTAATTCCATGCAAATCCATACGTCCGATTCGGTAATAAAGCAACCCAAACATTGCACGATATAAGGACAATCGTGAGATTTCAACACAACATCGAGATCCATAATTATCCTCTTATTTTCTTCCGCGTTGCCAGAACGTCTCATTTGTTTAACGGCAATGAGTACACCACTAGGTTTATGCCTCATTTTGACGACATGACCACAAGTACCATTACCCAATTCTCCTAGATGTTCCAAGTCTTTCATCTCGGTTTGATACCTCTGACCATTTATATTTAAAATACCATTCATCTTCATGATTTCCTGCAGCTTCGATTCAAATTCACTATCCTGCTTCTTTGGAGGTATTTGTGAGACTTTCAAAGTTGGAATTGGTGCTGTATTAAAAAATAGAATATTATACATCATTGTTAGATTAACTAGATAAAAGTGAAAGAGAAAGTGACACATTCACTGATAGGGATAATCTCTTGATTTTTCTTCAACTCCAATCTACTGTTTCATTAACAAATTAATCAATCATAATGGCAAATAAAAATATTTATATCTGTAGAATGCAAAGAGATTCTGCCTTCAAAAAACAAACTGTTCTGTTGGTGTCTACAGACAATTTAAACATGTTTCTATTTATTCTATAACTGGCTCGATTTATTCCACTGAAAATTAATTGCATACGTAAATTGTTAGTCTCGTCGTAGCCCGAATGGAATAAACTACGCGCTAAGCAATAAAACGGGAAGATCGTTGTATATAGAGTCAACAATTGGAATAAATTGTGATGATCAACATAACCTGTACGACGAGTGGCAAGGCGAAAATTTCGTACGTAAGCTGTTTAAAACGAGGGCGAGAGAATGTCGTGTTGTATCCGCGAGCAATATCTAAATTAAACTCACGTCGGGAGGCAGAACTCGAGACTGATCCCGTGGACGACGGTGGAAGGCCCGTTCCTGGTCCAACCTCGTTGCCCTGTCTGTCCCTGTCTCGGGATTCATTCTCCGCTCTGAGACGTTCTTGCAAATTGAGGATTTTATTCTCCAGCGTGCTGGACATCGCGATGATCTTTTCTGACGGTAACGAGTTCACCGCGGTACACCACCTCGCACAAAATATTTGACAATTTTCACATCACTCGTCTGCCCCTTTTGGCAGCGAACATTGCGCCGCCGGTCGTACGCATTTCAGTAGAACCAACACTCTTCACGTTCCTTGGAAATCACTATAGTGAACGGTATCACCAGGTGTCCCGATAAAAGTCTTTGAGAAATTCGAGAAAAATGATTTCGAAGAATTCTTTTTGCAATACCTTGAAATCTAAATAACTGTCGATTTTTTTATATAAAATCCTTATATGTACGTGCAAGTATGCGATTTAATTAAGAATCAATATGCAAATCATTTTTATTTCTTTTTTTGATCAAACGTGAAGTGTTTATAATACAATATAGTTCTGTTGTGTAGAACTTATAATTAGAAGTTAATACACATTTACATATATATAAATATTTCTTCGAAGACTTGATTAATATGACTAATTATTTCAATGAACTATAATTGCCAGTAGCGGAAAATTAAATTAAAAATATCTCTTAATTTCATTACCATTTTCCACATGTGACAATTATAGTTCACGTTAAATATCTTTATTACAATTTGACGTTGTATCAGACATAATGAACTCTGAACATAAATGTGGAACAAACAAAACGCTGTCAATCGTATTTAGAAGTCAACGTTAAAATGTAGCAACATTGTAGATAAAAAGCTAATATACGAAAAAGTGTCTGATACATGGAATATTTTTCCGAAGGGGTAACTGATATAATCTCCTACAAACGAAATGTTCATTGAAGAACCGCAGCATTGGCAGCTATACTTGGATTGTTGATAACTTCTCCCAAACTTTCCAACAGTTCTTTCCTGTAATCGTCGAAGTCTCCATCGATTTCGTTGATCTGTTGATTCTCGATTACATATAAACAACATTCTGTATCACGAATCAAACGCTCGTCGTGAGAGACGATGATGACACCTCCCTTGTAGCTGTTGATAGCATCAGCTAGAGCATCGATCGATTCTATATCTAGATTGTTCGTCGGTTCATCCAAAATGACAACGTCCGGTGCGTTCAAACATAATTCGGCTAAAGCTACACGCGCCTTTTGACCTCCCGATAAATCCTTCATTTTGATCGTGTGCGCATGAGAACTGAGTCCAAATGTTCCTAATTGTTTCCTAGCTTTCTCGTACGGTAGATCGAACAAACGCATCAAGTACTCTGATGGCGTTTCTTCGGCAGTTAGATGTTCGCCGGAATGTTGATCGAATTTACCTATCCTCTAAAAGTAAAAACGTAATTTAAGGATGTATATTTCTTCCTCCTGAAACAGAATAGACTTGCATTTATACTTACCAATCGATGATTTCTTATTAATTCCCCTTTAAGCGGTTGCAAGTCACCGGTCAATAGCTTCAAAAATGTAGATTTACCAACACCGTTCGGACCTACTATAGCTATCCTGGAACTTAAGTCTATACCAAAATCAACGTCAATAAATAATGGTTTCTGTCCTTCGTATGCAAAATTCACATCTGAAACAAAATACTCTTTTTTTAATTCACATTCCTATTACAAAGCGGTGTACAAAATATAAGAACATACTATGAAGGCCAAGAATTGGTGGTTGCAATGGAGGTGGATCGGGGAAACTAAATTTAACTATATATTCTCTAGGTTTCTGTAATAATTCTGCAGGTGCATTGTCGTCCTCCTGCTTTTGCATTTTTGTTCTGTTCTTCTCTTGTTTCCTGGTCAAAGCTTCTTTCTGTTTCTTCTCAGCTTGTTTTTTACTCTGTCCTGAGGCTTTCAAATCTTTCAGTCGTTTTTCTTGTTTTTCATAAGCCTTTATCATTTCTTTTCTCTTTTGTTCGTACATCTTCTTAAACATACTGTAATTTCCTTTGTAATAATACAGTTTTTGCTGATCCAGATGAATTATCTCTGTACACACGTTGTCTAAGAAGCTCTGGTCGTGAGAAACAATTAGCAAAGTTTTCTTCCAAGCCTGCAGATAATTATCTAACCAGATAACAGCATTTAAATCCAAGTGATTCGTTGGTTCGTCAAGTAGTAGTAACGTGGGCTCTAAAAATAGAGCTCTAGCAAGGGAAACTCGCATACGCCAGCCTCCAGAGAAATTTTTTGTAGCCCGATTTTGCATGGCACGGCTGAAACCCAGACCTGCCAAGATTCTTCTAGCACGTGGTTCAGCAGAATCGGCACCAATAGCTTTTAGTTCCTCGTAAACCTGTGACAAATAAAAGTACGATTAAGATGCATTTCTATTCATGAGATCATTCATCCACAATAAGTTACCTCTTGTAATCTGCTTTGAATCGAAGTATCTCCTTGTTCCACCAATTCCTCTAATTTCTTGCACTCTGTCATTAACTCTTTACACTTTATATCGGCATTAAGTACCACTTCTACAGCCGGAGTATCATCAGCAATTACTTCTTGCTCACAATACAACACGTCGATGTTAGGTGGAATAGCGAAAGCTCTTTTCGCAATGTGACGAAGTAAAGTAGTTTTTCCATGACTTAAAAAAGCAGGACAATAATCGTTAGATACCCAAGTCGTTTTCTAATTCAATGGAGAACATGAAAAATGCATACCCATTCGGTCCTACTAAACCGTAACGCCTGCCATGTGCGATCAACAAACTCGCGTTAGTGAATAACTCTTTTCCCTTGGCAGCGATACTGAAATTTTCCACTTTAATGTCAACCGCATTCTCCAGTTGTTGATTACCACGCTGCAGACTCTGTGTCTGGGAGACAGTGAAATTGGTCTCGAGCTCGCTGTGACCCTGACCACCGGTCTTAGTTAACATTTCCATCGTCTTCTCATACTCCTGCTGTTTCTTCAATTTCTTCTTCTCTTTATGCGTCAGCTTCCTTCCTGTCTCCTCCATGTCCATCTCGGATATTTGCTTCGTGACATTCGACACTGTCTTATTGTTTGACATGTTGCAACGTGTGTCTAGGTTATTTAACCTCAAAGTTACACACTTCCCTGGTAACGTTCAGCAGACAAAGGAAACGTGAAAACACGTGGCGCCATTCAATCTTTAGCACGCTTTGAAAGTAGCACACTGCAGTAATTCACGAATGATCATTTGCATAAATGAAAGTCAATAACGAAGCTGCTTAGATGTCCTATCATTTGTCGTAATTCGAACAATTGAATTAAATACTGTAAAAAATAAATTAAAACCACAGTTCTTTTTATTTGATATTTTTTTGTAATTTATGTCTGAAGAATGGCAGGATTACAAGATGCAGAAAAAAGAGCACGTACTCTCAATGCAAGATTTTTAGCGTACATGGAGAAACACCGCATATACGAATTATTTCATGTAAATAACCTACGTGCCCCTAGAAATCCGTTATAAATGTATCTCTAAATGAAACGTTTAAAGGAAATCGGAACTCAATTGATGATCCAGAAACCTGATGACCATCTAGTGTTCATGAAACAATATCTTCAAATCGCCGCAAAGAGACTGGATGTATCGAAGATTATTCTTATTGCACCCGCAGGCTTCGGTAGAACGAATTTCGATAAGATTTGAATAAAATGAAATGTTGGTAAAACAATGTCTTATCGCAGGGAGAATGGCGCTAGCCAAAGTTCTTCAGGAGGAATTAGGAGTGCAACCGCTGACTTTGAAAGATCTGCGCCAGGCTTGCTCTCAGCCAAATGTAAACAAGAATTATTTTAAGAAAAATAAATTCTGATTATAGAAACAAATCGCGTTTAATAGGATGTTTGTCGATGTGAGGAGTCGGAGGACCTCGCGCAAGCGATGAAGAACATTTTAGAGAGCGGAACTCTGCATGAATGCGGTTGGATACTCGTTGGTAAAAATACAGTGCTCGAAATAATCAAGGCAAACCAAGTATTTTAAAATATGATTAGAATTATTATGGTACAGACTTACCAAGAACGAAAAAAGAAGCGCGAATATTTCAGCGTATGGGAATAATTCCGACGCACGTGATACAACTCATAGTTTCAAACGAATATGGTATACATATACCGATACGCGATTGAATCCAATATACCTGAACCACTTTTCCAGAGAATTGGGATAACATTTGCACGGATGTTGCTTGTCCGCACGCTTGTAATCCGAGAAACACACCAAAGGGTCCGAAACTTCGTCGATATTTGAAAAATTTGCGAGAGTTACGTGAAGTGTACAAACATTGTCTAATAGTTAGTTCAATTTTCAAAATAAGGGCTATATCATATATCAAAATGAAGATTGGCAAATTATATTTGAAAGGAAGTCGAAGTAGGTATTAGATCCATCGACGAACTCGGGAAGGATTGTGCAAAATTGGCAAAAGTAAAGAAACATTGCGGGGCACCGTCGCTTTTCCGTATTTTGCTCATCGGATCCAGAGGATCTGGGTGTACCACGCTGGCAAAATATCTATCCGAACGATTCAACCTTATCCACAGTAATCTTCATCTTCAATTTTTAGTTAGTTTATTTATAACAAAGCGTAGGAATTTTCTATTTATTATAGTCGATTACGATTACATCGAGGAACAGGCGCGTTTACAGCAGAATGCTTTGGGAAACACGCTGCGATCATTCGAAATCAAGTGGGGAGAGAGGCCAAAGCCTGAGATCCGAATTCAAATCGTTGAAGTATGATAAAAGTAGTCCTCGTGCCGATACCTGTTTTAATGTTACGGTTTTAGAAGTACATATCCGGGTACGAATGTATAAAGAGAGGCTGGGTTCTAACCGGGTTTCCAAAGACAGTAGAGGATTTCAAATTGATAGATCTAAGTCCCACACCGCCGAACAGGTAGCATACTGAGGAACAAGTTTAAAAAAAACATGAGACTCGCGCTTAATTGATTATTTTAGAGTAATATTCGTGGAAGTGAACGGAGACGTCTGCAGAGAGAGATTGCTCAATCGTCGATACAACATCGTCACTGGAAGCAAGCATCACTTGTCTTCGACGAATTACCTCGACAATGACGAGTGCAAACTAGGTGTTCATCCTAAAGATTTTCGATTGATCGTCGAGCGAGACGTAAGAGCCTCGACAAAGCATTTTCGGCTTCAATTGTAACCAATAGTAAAACTACAGCTTCAAGAATACGAGGAAAACGTGACCGACATGATGACGTACGCGGGTGATTCCGCCGTGAGAATCGATGGAAACGAGGTGGAAAGAATTGTCCGGGAAAAAGTGGAAACGGCTATAATGCGCCCACTTCCTATGCAATCGAGAGTACCGAAGCCACTACCCGAGATCGATCCGATGAGCATTGAATTCGATCCCGACGACGAGCCCGATCCCAGTGTATTTGACCATATACGCGCTCCCGAACCGAAGTACACATTCATTTAAACCAGATGCCGTTCCGCCCTATTCGGGGGTTGATACGGGATGCTCCTACCGCGTCCTGTTATCCTGCCATGGGAAACATCCCGCCTACGCAAACGTCATACCAGTTGGCATCGCACATAGTCCTTATGCTTCGTTTTTACGATTATTTACGATATAACAAATTATTCATTCAAGTTAATTTTAACGAGAAATCGATGAAATAATTATGCTTGAAATATATCTATTATTTCATAATAAATTTGGGATTAGTCGATCCAAGCTTTGTTCGTACATTGTAATCCAACCAACAAGTAGTAGAATCAAGGATGACGTGTGACCTACGTCAGCCTGTTTGCTTAGAAATTGCACCACGGCTATCATGTCGCCGTAGAAGTGAACGGGAACGGATAGGATAAAGTTAAATTACCGATATCGCACACCTACATTAATGGGGATAATTGCCTCAAACGCGGAGCATATTTCCGGATCAAGGACGTATATAGCTGGACAGGTCGTACGAGATTGCGGAAGCGGAATAGGACTTTCTACGAGGGATGAAACCCTGTCCGTTTCACCCCACGGTTAATAAGACTTTTCCCTTTTTGAAGAGTGACTTGTCAAATTATACTTGGCGTTCTCCATATCGGGATGGTATACGTAGCGAATAAGTCGCTTCCATCGTCATCGAATCATTGACCTCAATCGATTTGTCATCAAAAGCATGACTCATTGAAAATTCGATAATACACAGGAATTAAGCCGGGCACGGAAAACTACAATCGTTGTTTGCATAAAAATTGAATCGTCGTTTCAGCAACGGAAGTTTTATATTATACGGGATAATTACACATCTCTCCATATAAGTATCGATCGGGCTTCTTCCGCGGAACTGCACAGATGCCGGAAGGAAACAGGAAGCTGGGGTGTAGGGAAGCAGAGCCGAGCGGAGGTAGAAACGCAAGAATGTTCAGCACGAACAAAAAGAAGTCGCAGACAAGGAAATGTAGGAAAATGAATTCGAATTATTAGCGAAATGAAATCGGTGATAGTTAACCCTTTCAAGGTTCTAAAATGAATTTCCATCGTCGAGAAGAAATATATTTATTACGTTACTCTATCGTTTCATTAACATATTACAAATTAGTTATTAAGTATCACACGCTTTATTCATGAGTGAACTCCATGCTTTGATATAATGACGAGGGTTGGAGACGTGTACACATCAAGCTATTAGAAGGACTTCAAAAGACGAAATAAGCCCAAGTATCAGGATAGGAGAAAGCGAACGGGACCCGACAGGACGACGTGAATCCTTATTGCGATCCTACTAGAACAGCTGCAACCCTATCCTCTATGGACGTCTTCAGCATGCATTGAAAATAAACCGTATACTCCGTGGGCGCTTTGCAGTGGCATAAACACATTTTTTCATCACCATCGTGGATGCATTAGGCTCGTATAACTCCGCAACCATCAACCCTTCGGGCTAATCGAATCTGTCAGGGTTGTGCCAATTTTCCTGGAATTTCTAAAACTAATAACTTTAGTCAATCAATAAAAATATTTCGAGATTAATAATATTGTGTGGTTTTTCTTTTCGAATGTTTGATTACATTAGCGAATGTTTAACAAATTAAATGTCCTTGTGGTTTTGTGCTTTTGATTCTTTTAATCGTTTGTAATACAACCCTGGAATTCACTAGTTACCATTTCATCGATGAGCAAACATGTGTGACTCGCGCCAACGCGTTTGTATCTTACAAACATCCAATGCCACTAGGATACCATGCGAATCGGTATTTCGTGGACGAATACCTATTTCCTCGAAGACCGAGCTTGCAAGCGTCAAAAGCATTTCGGGAACCAGGATTCCATGTAAGATGGAATTTGCCCGCGTGAACGAACGGAAGGACTCGGTTTTCTATCGCAAGGGGCAAGGCGTCCTGCGAGGCTCGTCAACGTCCTGTCACTCGTCAACCGCATGGCGTCAGAAGCATTCGCCTCACCAGGACCTCATAACTCGCGAACGGGGTTCCTGTTCCTGCGAATCCGACGCCAGGATCCAGGCTGGACACGTGCTCCCTCTCAGCCGGGATAACAGGATGTTAGTAACGATTTACCGCCGTGTTGTTTGTTCCTGAAGATTTAAGACATCTAAACGACGGATAAGTAAGATGGGTCATAAAGGAGCTAAAAGAAATTTAGATTGCTCATGAATTCGAGCGCAGAATGTCACGGAATACGCCAGACTGAAATGAACTACAATTTTCAAGAGAAATAAAACAAACTCGGTGGCGTAAGATATTTATGATCGTTTCTTATCTACGTTATGATTTTTTATCGGACTCCCATCGTCTTCTATACATCTTAACTTCAAGCGTGCATCACAGGCGACCATAAAACGAGTCGCGCGTGCTGCCGAAAAAAATTCCAGATATTCGGATGGATTTCCGATAACGGGCGGTGGCTGTGTATATGCAACGTGTACACAGCGATACTGTTTTGCCTCGGCCACCACCCGATGAAACAAATATTGATTTCGTTCAGCCGGCGCGCCGCGAAATTACCCTATTTTTCGTGCCATTAATGTTCCATCAAACGCGTAGCTCGGAAGCCGATAACGGACTCGTATCTCGTTCGTAACAAATAATCGGGGCTTCGCTGTGTGCACGGAAAAACCGTTTCGCCGAGTATAAGAAGGCTTAAATAGAAGTTTTAGTAGGTCGAAGCTTTCATCGGAGTTGCGAACAGTTCGGAGTTACCGTCAAAGCAGTAACAGGATTTATTTCAATTTGAGCTTCAAAGCGTAGTCTCGTTTGGCCACCAGGCTACCAGCCGAGAGAAGAGTCACGCGTTACTATTATTCATCCGCCCACAATTGATCGAACTGGGTGATCGCGCGAACGTCCGCCAATCAACTCGGAATTAACTCTCCGACGGTTTAGACAGTTTACGCAAAGAAATAAAAACGAATCGTTCGGGATCGCGTTTCATTGTGGATAAAACGATGAATCAATTCTTGCGTAATCGGATGCATTTGCAGTAGTTCCAAAAATACTGTTGATTCAATTGAGACCGGTTGGGCGCCACGTTAACGAAGACTCGTCGAGTGCGCACAGTAATGGTATTATACCATACCCTCGAGCGTGCCTAGTAATTATCTCCGCGGAGTAGAAGGAAGTTGGCGGACGCGCGGTGTGTATCCGTGCCTACTGACGAGCACCGATATAACTAAAAGTATCACCCGAGTTATCGTTCAAAAGAAACAATGTTCCCCGGGACGGTGTTGGTGCGTTCTTGCCTCTTAAAACCCGGCAGCCTCTGGGCGTTTAAGCCCTCAAACCGTTCTAATTGAGGTTCCTCCTCGTTACCGCGAAAGAGTTACCGGAAACAATGGTCGGAACGAGTTGATGACAATTGCACGTACCAAGCATCCGCGCTAACAAAAGCGCGCCAACCAGTCCTCGTTTTCAATCTCTAACCATCTCCTTCTTACCTTGTCTGTTTCGTCCCGCTATTGTTCGCGGCGATGCAACGAGCCTCGACGTCGACTAATGAAGCATCCTTCCTGCCCGTCGAGGTATCGAGACAGCTGGTCCAAAACACCGGAAAAAAAAAATAAATAAAACGCGAATTTCCAATGTACGCGTTTAATTCGATTCGTCGACTATCCACAGGTCAACGGATCTGATCGTTTCCCGAAATCGTGGCAACACTTTCTACGAAACTGTTATAACGCGAAGGCCGGTAGGTATCCGTGCAATTACCGACAGAATGTCTGTAATTATTTTAATGATCACGGCGAATCGATAGCTTCGGAAGTCTGGCCGACGAGTCTCGCTTTACGAAACTAATTTAATTAGCACTTTAAGCACCGCGCTCGCTGATAATAGGGGTTGCAAGGCAAGCGTAGGGGATAGAAGTTCGGGGGTCAGGCTATCAGGGAAATCTTTTCACGTTAAACCCATTAACGATACAATTAGCCGCGCGGTGGAATTTTTAAAAGAGAAGCGAGCTCCGTGAAAAGGTTTCTGCCTAATTTCGCGAGAAAGGGTGAAGGCACGAAGGAAACGGAAAATACTCGCGGACGCGGATGCGGAGGAGTAGACGCGTATCTACGTACGGAGGGGCCTCGCGAGTCGGACGAAAGGAAGGGAGTAAAAAACCGCGAGCCGAAGCTGGAGAGATGAGTTATTCGCCTCTCATTTTGCTCGAGTGCCCTCGCGAACAAGGAAACATTTCAATTAATTACTGCGTAATTAAAATATGAAAAAGTAGTCATTAACCCGCGTTTCCACGTCGGTTACTTGGACAACTTTCCTGCTCGTTGCCTTCGTCTTCCCGGTCCCCTTCAACGTAGCGTTGATTTATTTCCTTCCCCCCCTTCACTTTCTTTCTTTCTCATCCTTCGGCGTTCTTTGCTCCGTTCTCGATCCTCGCTTTCGGATATCTCGTTCTTCCGTTTTATTTTTCACCGGGGCACGGCCGTGCACGCGCCAGTGTCGCGCCCTCGTCGCAGGCATTAATTATGCACGTGTCAGGTAATCCCCGAGTGGTTATCGGATAAGCAGCCTCCTGCTGCTGTTGCTGCTACTAGACGAGCTCCGTGTACAAATAAGTGCAGAAATAAACACTTTTTCGAAATGTTCGTCATACCGAACAATACTTCTTAACATTTCTACGATCAGAAACGATCGATGATTGGTGAAATTCATAAAGCGATGCACGCGGATCATTTAAAGATCTTATTTTACATTACAAATTGAAGATTCGAATCGTGTTCGCCTCAAGGTAACAGCACGCATCAAGCAAAAGGGGTCGAGCTACTTCGGCGGCGAAAGCGAGGTTTAATTCGTGATGTTAGCCCCGCGAGTAGATATCGTTCCATAGGAAGTAGTAACAGGGAGCAGGAGTGGCTCTGCCGACGATCCCCGCCCGCAACGCGGCGCTAACTTTTCAATCTCGGTCGAATAATCCGTCGGAAAAGCCCCGCGGTTACCTCGGCAACGATCTGGCCTCTC